GCACTTATGATAAACCCTACTGATAAGATGACCAACTTTATTTTTCAACCTCATTCTCCTTGGTTCACTTCCAGTTTTGAGCTAACTATGTGAAAGAGTCTGGCCAATGAGACATGAGCAGAAGTGTATTATAAAATTCATGGGAAAAATTTTGTTTTCTTGATACACACTCTTCTCCCTTTGTTTTTCCTGTAGATATAGGCATAGATGTGATGGTTGAATTTGAAATCCTCCTTGCAATCATGAAAGAAAGACCAAGAGATTCACAGACTTCCATGATAACAACATTGAATTACAAACAGGTAAATAACACCCTCAACTGTCTTCTCTGAACTTCTCATTATGTGAGACAAATAAACTCATATTCCAACTCCCACAAAAAACACAGAGCTTCTTCTGATATTTTGGCGACTCCTTTGGAATTTCTCTTGTGGCTCACAAACTTAGCCCCTCTCCCACTACTGAGAGTCTTATTCTGACACTGTGCTTTCTGCTCAGTGTGGCTAGCTCCTTACCATCAATGATATCTGATGTTCCAGGTTGGACCAGCCCATCCCCTCTGCTCATCTCTCCATGGAGGATTGGACATTATCCTTCTAGCCCAGATACTTAGGACTTTTTCCTGATGACTGACATAGTTTCTTGGTCTACTTTGTTTCCTTGCTTTCAGTTTCTTCCAATTCCTTGTCATATTGGACACTATCACCATGTGGACAAAAAAGGGCTCTGCAATAAATCTGACGAGTCTAATGACTGGAAGTAACCTCCCAGGGTGATCTAATAATCAATTCCTAACTGGGCAGGTCAAGGTGGATAGTCATACCCCAGGTCTAAGAAGCTTATCTTTACTTGAAGCCAGCCCTGTCCATTGTTCTTGTGCATCTAGATTAACACACCTTTGAAATACCAGAGTAATCCTCTTTCTTTAGACCTCTTGGTTGGGTGGCCCAGCATAACCATCCTCAAAGGAGCACATAACCTTGGTAACTCGTCTGTAATCCAATCGAGATTTCCCTGCCTTACTTTTTCTCACATCATGTAATCTTCCTAATGTTCCCTCCCTACTTCCAAATGTATAAAAAGAACTGCAAAATGGTCATTCTGTGGAGCATTTGAGATCTTGCTTCCTGGTGTATTGTCAGTTTGGCTCAAATAAACTCATAAAAATTATCTGCAGGTTTCAACATTTCTTACATCAATAACCAAATATGTTTCCAAAAAGAACATTTGGTAATAACACCAAATAATCTGGTGGTAATAGACATCAAATAATGTAACCAAAAATCTTAAATAGCTTCCTATTCCCTACCACACTGGACATTCAAAATGCTCCATAATATAACTTCAGTAAAAATTTTCAACCTGATATAATTTTTCTATATTTAACCTATTTTCTTGGCAAATGAAATATTATTATTCCTTAACTGAATCCTGTCATTTTCTACTTAAATAATGTTGTTTGTAATATTTCTTCTTTCTGGAATGTGTAATGTCTTGCTCTTAATCTTATCTTCTAAAGATTATCCACTTATCAGGTCCTAGCTCAAGTGACAATTCTTCCCCAGTCTCCAGTGATTATTTAAAATGGACGAATGTTCCTTTTTCTAGTATCTCTTGGCATAGCTATTTAAGCTATGTTAACATACAACCACATAGTTTTCTTATTCATGCACCCATGAGATTATCAGATCCTTGAGGGAAGTAATGATGTAATAAAATTTATTCTAACATTCAATAAACATATATCAAATCCTTACTGTCCTGGGTGATGGTGGTATGAACAAGACAGACCAGGTACTTGGAGTTTATGTTTCAAGGAGGAGCATGTTTTACAGATAACGAGCAAGTAAATAAATAAGTAAAACGGAATAATCTCAGGTTTAGATTGGCTAGTTAGGGAAGTTCTTCCTCAGGAGGTATTTGTGATGAAATCTCAGTAAGAAGAGCCCCATCACAAGAAGACCAGAAGAGAGCACATAGAAACTCATTATCAAGTTAGTAGTGAGAGTATGGTGTGTATGAAGAACGCATGGAAAACACTACAGCTGGATCACAGTGGGTGGAGGGGAAGGCTACTGTGAGATGAGGTTATAGAGGAGGGCAAGGGCCACATCTTGAAGGTCTGTGTAGGCCAAGCAAAGTGGCTTGGATTTTATTCTAAGGTTTAAAACAGGGAGTAACACTATCTAATTTACAATGTAAAATGATCTCTCAGGCTGCTGTGTAGAAAATGGATTATACAGGCTCAAGAGTGGAAGCAAAATTCACTGGAAGGCTACCACAGTAATCAAGAACAGGAGATGACAGGTTAAATTTGATGGCAGTAGGAGGGAGAGGGAGAGAGGGAGGGAGGGACAGAGACAGAGAGAGAAGAGTGGAGACATTTATAGTCTCTCTAGATTAAGCATGGTATCTTGAACATGGTTGATGCTCAATATGTATTGCTAAATATATGTGCAAGAGTTTCAAGATAATTCACCTTCTTAATTTCTATATTATCTTCAATTTTTTCCTTTTATTCACATATTATACCCTAATATAGTCTTGTTTAACACTTAGAGAGCCAAACAGAAAAATGAAAACTTCATATTCAAGGAAACATTATACATCTCATAGTAGAAAATCCGCTAACAAAGAATTGAAATGATGGAGGGTCATATTGTTAACTATGGAAAGAAATTACTTGAAACAAATGGTAAAAATCAGAATTCAAAATCCCTGACAGCATAAAAATGATCAGGGTTTCAAATACAAAGATCTACATTTTAAACAGAGAGCCACCAACTGCCTCAGCCAGGAAGAGTGCAATGATCATAATACTAACGTGGGCCAGTGAAGCAGCGTCCTCCACAACTAGACTGAAGAACAAAAGGACAGCAACTTGTCTGTTCCCCTTCCCTGAGTCCCCAGTAAAATAAATAAATAAATAAAATAAAAAGAGAGATCCTCTGTTAGCATCAGCTAGAACAGTGTGCCTATAGAGGATGTTGGTAAAATTAATTTTCATTATGTTGAAGACTTGTCTAGCTCTAACTTACTTTGATTTTTCTAGAAATATACAACCTTCATTTTATTATCTTGATATAATAAATTTCTAATAAGTAGCTAATACTATCTAACTAGAAAGAAACATTTATAAAATTCTAATAGCACTGAATGTGACCTGCCTTGTCTCTAAATTAGGGATCTGAGGAAAGGCAGGCAATTCAGTAGGTTCTCATTATCTTTCACATATACTTCCCAGGACATTTAGATTTTTACCCATGAAGATTTGTCTTCATTATTAATTCACTCCAAATTCCTTCAATACAAAGCAAAATAGTATGATTTTTTTTGCCACTTTCCACCTGAAACGCTAAATGGCCCCTAAATGGTGTGAAACTTGGCCCCAGTCAGTGTGAAAACTGGCTGAAATCTGTATGAAAGACAGTCTGGGTTCGTCAAAGTAGTTCATGAACTTTGGCCAAACTTCCAAGAAACCTGGCCCAACTCTTAGTTTGTAATGCAACATGAAACCAGGTGAATTTCACATGGTTTCAGGTTTCATCCTGAAAATTTGGCCTAGCTTTATAATCAATCATCACTTTTTGGAACGATGAAAGCCAACACACCTTTTTGAAAATGAGGACTGTATGCACGCTGATGACAGCTAAGCTGTGAACCACCCCTTCACTTCCTCTGCCAAAAGAAGATTTCTCAAAATGGAAACAGTCTCCCTCTTATCTGGAAAGGGCAAGTTGAGTGATTTTGATATTGCGTGTAGAAAGAAATGATACTCAATACATGGAGACATGCCATGTGAAATAATCACCACATACAGAGCAAGTGGCTATACTCTAATCATTTAAGGTTATGAGAATTTTATTCCATTCACATCCATATATCATGATGCTTAATCTCCTCAGCCATAACATCAGCTTTTAGCTTGAAGCTAGTCATCAGCTAGAATAACTGCCATGAGAAACGAAATGCTCTGAGGCATAATCATTATTTCTATATGAAGAATGGCTGTAGAAAGTAAAGTAAATTATTTTATCTAGTTTAATAAACATGAGGAGGTAAGACGACAAACTTTTCAAGTTTGCATTGACTACATCTTTTGCAATAAAACTTCGACTTCAGTATACATGAATTCAATAGTTATGCACTGTGACCAAAAAAACCCTACACAATTGTGTTTTCAACCTGAAAGTTTTAAATGTGCTTTTCCACTGTAAAAATGACTGTAAAAAATGACTCCCTTCAACCAAATACTCGCTTTTGTGCGTAGTGACTTGAGAAAATTGAGAGGTATGTCTGAACGGAGCCACTACATCATTGGAACAGTATGTCTGAACATTTGGGTAATAAGGCACAGATGTGAAGCAGAGGACTTGGCACTACCAAGGTAACAACAAAGCATTCGCCATTGTGTTATAATGGTTAAAAGAGCCACATTCAAGGAGAATAAAAGGATGCCCTTCCTCCCTGGAATGCTAAATTATATTACACCTTTTGTCTGCTTAAAAATCTATAAAACATAAGAAATTCAAATAAGTATTATTGAAACATGATGAAGAATACAAATACAAAATGCATTAATATTTTCATCTATAATATAACATATTTATGCAATAGCACATAAAGTTGAACTGCAGAAAAAGGCCAAATTCAATAGAAATCCACATGGCCTTTATATTGCAAAATAGTGTATGCAAATCCGAAGGACCCAATAGCTATTGGAAAGGTGTTGTTGACTTTTACTAGGGATTCTGGCCCTTAATCAGTATGGCTATTCTAGAGTGTTCTATTCACAGGTATCAAATTAAGGTAATGCAAAAGGGTATACACATTAGTTATTATTAAGACTATTACACTTACAAGTGGTATAGTATTTTTGCCAGCTATGCATTACTAATCTATGCGACACATAGGCAGTTATGAAGCCAGGGCTACTCTCATTCAATAAGTTTGGCGCTGAAAGCTAATTTTCTGCCCAGGACTAGAAGAATACAACTTACCCGAGGTCCCTGATCACCTTGTTCTCCCTGTAGAGTAGGAAATGAGATGATAGACAGTCTTAGCATGAAGTCTGCATGTGATGTTCATTAAAAAGATAAAAATAAAACAGCATAGGTCATGTCAATATGAATTTCTACTAACTTAATTTGTTTCTGCTATTCATTTTCTTACCTTATCACCTTTTGGACCAGGAGGGCCCTGGAAAAAAAAGAAAGAGAAAATGAATATAAACTTAAAAAAAACTGTAATTTGAAAGATGAGCTAGGATTAGTTGCAAGATTCATGTAAAGGACACAGAGGTATAGCTGTCAATGAAGTTTCTCAAGAAATTTTGGGTTCTAAACTATAATATGGTTAGAATATGAAAATTATATATGGCATAATGGTATATATGTATACATACACACAGAGAAAAGTACATATGTCATAAGTATATTATATGCTGAATACATTTTCACAAACTGAACACACCTAACTATACAAGCAGAATCAGCTAAAGAAACCCAGAAGCGCCTATTATATCATTTAATTGTCACTACTCCCTACCAATGGTAATCACTATTTTTGACCACTGACAATTTTTAACAAATAGTGTTGCTATAAGCATCCTAGTATATGTCTTCTGGTTAAAAATTTTATGCATTCCTCTCTTTTTTCGGTAGGGTAACATTTTAGCAAATGACATTTTTATGCATGTATGTTGGGTATATATCTAGAAGTGGAATTGTTAGGTCCAGTGTGGTTCTAACAATTTACACTCCCATCAGCAATGCATGAGAATTTCAGTTCCCCTATAGCATCACCAATACTTGGTATTTTCCATCTTTTTCACACTGAAGATTTTCTGGGGGGAGGTGCAGTCCTTCCATATTGTATTAGAATTTGTATTTCTTTAGTGATTAACTATGTTGAACTTCTCTTAATGCAGGTATTGGACATTTTGCATAACGTGTTCCCATCTTTTGCCCCTTTTCCATTGAGTTGTACTATTGATTTGTTAGAGTTTTTTATATATTATACTATGCATTATACTGTAATACTAATATTACATATAAATGCAAATATATATATATATATATATATATATATATATATGTATGTATATGAGAGAGAGAGCACACAAATACATTATCCCACTCTGCATATTGTGTTTTTATTCTCTTAAAGGTGTTTTTGGTGAACAGTTCTTAATTTTAATAAAACTCAATTTAACATTTTTTCTCTTTATAGTTATCTCTTTTTGTGTTCCATTTAAGAAGTCTTTGCCTACTAAAAGATCATGAAAAGGTTCTTCTGTTTATTCTAAAATCTAAAAGCTTTACTATTTATCTTTCATATTTAGATCTGAATTCACAGAAAAATTGATTTTGTGTCTGCTGTGAGGTCAAAGTCAAAAGGCTTTTCCCTCCATGTGGATATCAAATTAACCCAAACACCATTTATTAAAAATGCATCATTTCCCCATTGTAGTACAGTGCTGCCTTTGGCATAAATTAAATGACCATATATATGTGGATCTTTTAAGGAATTTCTATTTTGTTGGGCATCTGTCTATTCTTGAGTCACACTAAGATTTTCTTTACCTTTGAACAAAAATACTAGCAGAAAAAACTAATACTAGGGTATCAATACTTTTTTTTCCATAGCTCTTAAAAATAAAGTCATATTTTGGGCTCTACCCGAGGAATTGGAGCATTTCAGAGTTACCCTTCAATATCTCCCCTTCATCTTCAGTAGGGCTGGGAGACAAGGAGAAGTCTAGACTGAAGGTAAAACCAAGGTTCTAGCCAAGAACCCTATTTAAGTCCCAGTGGAGGCTGCTCTCTCTTCAGGGAGTCATGTAGGAATGCTCTGCCTACTAAAATATCTCCTCTAAGAATCAGTGACAGAGGAAATGTACCAAATTCCCATTCTCACTTGTGGCACTTCTAGTAATAGTTGTGAGGTTATCATAAAATTAGTAATAACAATAACATGTCTTATCTTTTGTACATTTTATCATCAACAAAGAATCTGTTACAGCACTCAATCTTTTCCCAACACAATAAGAAAGTATTAATACTTGTATAGATGCCTAAGATTAAAGAAACATCAGCATGGGTAGTGAGTTAGCCAGGACTTTCACCTAGTCTTCGGGACTTTAAATGCAGTCTGGATTGCTAAGTGTTAAGACAGCTGGAGCGCTCGATTCTCAGAGAGAATGATGACCATGGGTCTGCCTTCAACAGGTACCTTCTGAAATGCCTCCCAACTGCATTTCCCACAGGGTTGGGAACAGTAGCCCCAAGATCTCAAGTTCAAAATGGGAGAAAGAGGAATTATAGAGGATCAGGGAGGGGAAGAGGAAGCTAAGATCAACTTAGCCCCTAGATCAGCTCAAGTCAACTGGACAAAGCCTTTCATCTCTTACCCAGAAAATAATTTTGCCATTAAAAGGGAGGCCAGGAAAATTATTTTTCTTAATGTTTTCTGTAAATTTTTAATGTTTTTATCAATGTTTTCAGTGAATCAAGTAGTGAGTAATTAGTACAGCCTTTGTGCCTACCTCTGTAAAATTAAGTTTAGGTAATTTACTCAATCACTTTAAACATAAGCAAAATGCTCACTAATTATCAGTAGAATTTTATCTTTGGTTGAGCCAAAGAAAAGGAACCCAAAGAAAAGAATGAGAGGATACCTACCATGAAGTTTAGGAAATATAATGAAGACAGACTAGAGAGCCTAGAAATAAACCCATCCATATACGGTCATTTAATCTATGACCATGGAAGCAAGAATTTACATTGGAGTAAAGATAGTCTATTTAATAAATGGTGCTGGGAAAATTGGACTGACACGTGCAAAAAAAATGAAAATGGACCACCTACTTACACCATACACGAGAACAAATTCAAAATGGATTAAAGATTTAAATGTAAGACCTGAAACCATAAAACTCCTAGAAGAAAACATAGGGAGTAAATTTGCAGACATTACCCTCAGTAATATTTTTACTGAGATATTCCCTCGGGCAAGAGAAATAAAAGAACAAATTAACATATGGGATTACATCAAACTTAAAAGTTTTTTAACAGCAAAGGAAATCATCATTAAAACAAAAAGGCAGCCTACTGAATGGGAGAAGATATTTGCCAATGATATATCTGATCAGGGGTTAATATCCAAAATTTATAAAACACTCATTCAACTCAACACCAAAAAAAAAACAACCCAATTAAAAAAATGGGCAGAGGATATGAAGAGGCATTTCTCTAAAGAGGACATACAGATGGCCAACAGGCATATGAAAAAATGTTCAACCTCACTAATCATTAGAGAAATGCAAATAAAAACCACAATGAGATACCACCTCACTCCGGTCAGAATGGCTATCATCAATAAATCAACAAACAACAAGTGCTGGTGAGGCTATGGAGAAAAGGGAACTTTGTGCACTGTTGGTGGGACTGCAGGTTGGTGCAGCCATTATGGAAATCAGTATGGAGGTATCTCAAAAAACTGGAAATGGAACTACCATATGACCCAGCAATTCCACTCTTGGGTATCTATCCAGAGAAACCCAAGACGCTAATTCAAAAAAATATATGCACCCCTATGTTTATTGCAGTGTATTCACAATAGCCAAGACTTGGAAACAACTGAAATGCCCATCAGTAGATGACTGGATTAAGAAACTGTGGTACATTTATACAATGGAGTATTACTCCGCTATAAAGAAGAATGAAATTGTACCATTTGCGATGATATGGATGGACCTAGAGACTATTATGTTAAGTGAAATGAGTCAGTTGGAGAAAGACAAATACCATATGATTTCACTTATATGTGGAATCTAAACAACTGAATGAATGAGCAAAGTAAACAGAAATGGTCTCAGAGATATAGAGGAAAAACTGATGGTTGCTAGTTGGGAGTGGGGTGGGGTTGAGAGAGAAGAGGAAGGGATTACACAGCATAAATAGTTAACTACAATATTGCCACAGGGATATGAAAGACAGTTGGAGGAATATAATTAATAATGTTGTAAATATTTTGTAGGATGTCAGATGGTCACATGTCTTGCTAGGGATACCGCATCATGGATGGGGTAGAGGCTTGATCTCTGCACTGTACACCTGAAGCTGATGTTATATAATACTGTATGTCAACTATAAGTGAATATATATACATATATGGTCTATATATACTCCACGTCCCATGACTATATATAGTCATGGGACGTGGAGTCAAGGGAATTGTAATAGATATGTATGATATTGGGGGGGAAGTGGGGCAGCAGATTGGGGGAGGAGGGTTGTCACTTCGAGGGGTAAAAAGTATAACTATTGTACTGTGTTGTACAGCTGAAACTAATTCTAAAAAATGTGTATTTTACAATAAAAAAAGAAATATAATGAAGATTTTAGTCTTGATTTAAGTAGCATGTCTTTTAACTCGATTTTGATTTTTATGTACATTTGTTGAATGCTTGTAGAGAGTTTTGCAATGTTCTAAGCACTGGTGGAGAATATGGTGGGAGAAGCTAATTAGCAAAGCAAAATAGTCTGTTCTAGAAAAGCTAGTGCTACACTCATTTTCCATATACTAGCATTAAGAAAAATCACCACTAGAAAATTCAGCTACTCTAAGGTCACTTACAGTTATTGTGGAGCCTTTCCCAGCTTTTACCCCCTCCTTCCTAAAAGTTTCTCCTCTTTAAAGTTCTACTTGCTTTTGCTGGTGAGATTTCAGAGTCCAAGCCTCTCATTGTACCAGTCCTCTATAAAGTCACTTTGTCAGGTTATATGGCATATTTGAGGTCAAAGCTTTTCTGAAATAATTTTACAGTGGGGAACAGAGATGACTCTTTTTCCCAAAGTCCAATTACTAATGCCAAAGCCATATGTGTCCACTAGAACTCTTTAGACAGCTTGCCATAAGCAAGGATGCTTACTTAATTCATGAACACATGAAAATCTGCACTCACAAAGGAGCAATAAATACCCCTGCTACAAAAGGGGGTGGTTCTGGGCAGACAGAATGGCGTCCTGGCACCTGCCAGCTCAAGACAGAACTGAAGCAGAGGTCAACCTCCATTCACAGCTGTGGTGGCTGCTTTGGACACTCCAGACCCCACTTGTGCTTGTGGGATTAATGGCAGGTGTTTTTCTTCTACTTGACAGAAATCCCACTCTTCTTTCTGAATTGGACCCTCTTCA